CTAGTGGTAACTGGAAGCATCTGCAGCCACAGTTTTGCTTCACAGAGGAGAAAGGCCTTTCTGTGGGGATGTCCATGACTTCCAGGTTTCAGCCAGCTATTCTCAAAATGTATTAAAACAGACAATTTCACACTGATAGATGTTGATTATGTTCGACTAATTAAGGGGGGATGTGTATAAAGAATATAAAATATGTCCCCCCCTGGTGGTGGTGGTGGGAGGGGTGTTCCTCGAGCCTCAGGTCTCTGGGAGTTTGAGGGTTCGGAGCATCATCTCCTGGGATTATAATCTTCTGGACAAAGCCTGGAATCTGCTGGAGCCAGCTGTCCGGCTCACAGTGCTCTGTTACCACTTTGCCTCCCACATCTGCTCCAGTTGTTCCTTCACCCCCTGGTACTTCTTTTGTGTGCTCCTTCTTGCTGGTGTTACTGTCTGCTGGCAATGACACATCTATTCGAACTATCGTCCACCACTGTGTCCGGCTGGTTGGCCAGCAGGACGAGTCCCACAGGACCTCAGCCCTGTTGTTCTCATCCACTTTTGGTGGCGTCTCCCATCAGAACGTGGAGACCTCTAATCCATGTTGTACACTCTCCTGTGCTCTCTCCTAGTCTCTTGTGCCTCTCAGTGTATACTATAACAGCTTTCATCAGTTTATCTTGCTACTATGTGCTGTTTAAACTCACGAGGCTTTATACAGCCTGGGTGCTGTCAGCTGTGATGGACTGCAGCCTCTGCAGATCTGGTGCTTCGGCTCTGTCCCTCTAACCAGCCTTTCCTGCCCACTGGTAGCGTATATGACTCAGTGGTGCTTTGGGTTGTTTCTGTGAATTAAAGTTCTTCACTCTTAGAAACACCGAAACAGCATATTTCCTAAAATACCAAAAGATATTTTACTTCTTTATTTGCAGTTTTAGCATTTTTGTTTGAAACTTGATGGCCTGTCAAAGTCAACTAAAGTTCTTACAGACGTAACTTGAGTCGTGTTGGAAGCTTTTTTTTCCTTTACAGTTATTCGTGAGATGTGTTTTGGTGGCTTAAAACAGCGAGACATTAGAGTAAATCATGTAAACCAAAAGTGATGCCTGGCACAGCGTCCGTTGTGTCTCTGTGCTGCGATGTGGTAACTTGGGCCTCATTCCTGTTTTCTTCCACAGCTCTGAGGTTCAGAACTTATGTTGCATAACAGCGTCTGTATGGACCAACATTTAGTTCCCTGGAAGTAGTAACTGAAATGCAATTTAAGAAGGACTTAAACCTCATTAAACCTCAGCTATCCAACTTCACCTGTCTGCTCCAACCTCAGCTATCACATGGACATAGTGGCATACGCCCTACGCTGTGATGTTGTGTTTAGCTTTTACTTTGGCTTTAAATAACCTCTCCATCAGTCTGGGTGGTGACTGATGGTGTTTCCACTCCTCTGATGGTAAATCTTGGTCTTAAAGAGGTCAGGTCAGGATGAAAGAGGTCAGAATCTTCTAGCTAAACGCAGCCTGTTGAATCTAATCATCACAAGACCTTAAATTCAGCTGTAATGTGAAAGGCTTTAGGGAAAACGGGATCAGTTTGAGACCTGTCAGTGCAAGACTCTGCCAGGCTGTTCTGATGACCTCAAGAGCTTCAAATCTGCGTGGGAATGCAATTAGGCGTTGGTTATATTTAAAAGGATTGGCCGGTTGGAGGATATGATCTTCAGCATTAGGGAGGTCAGGCATGAAGACGAGGTCACAAAACATTGAACTGATGAAGTCAGGAGGTTAACCAACTGTTGGTATTTGGCCTTGAAATTAGATGCATGTTGATGTAGTAAATGTTAAAAATCATCATTGATATATTAATCTGGGATTTGGGATACCACAGCGGGACAGTCACAGCAAAGTTCTGGACTTTTTCCATCTGAGGGTTATTTCTGATTCTACGTGGCTCCAAAAGTGTGAATGTAAAGGGCTGGCTATGATTGGCAACCTGTCCAGAGTCACATCATTGTTCATTATCACCTGTGGGACAATGTGGGAAATGTAAAAGTAATTAAAACACCTTTAAAAAAACAAAAACCAAGCCTACATTTCCAGCTGTTCTGGTTCCACGTGCACCAGTCAAAGGTTTGGACACAGCTTCTCATTTAATGGTTTTTCTTGATTTCATGACTCTTTGTAGATTCTCACTGAAGGCATCAAAACTATGAATGAACACACGTGGAAGTATGTAGTAACACAAAAGTGTGAAACAACTCAAAACATGTTTGATATTTTACATTCTTCGTAATATCCGCCCTCTGCTGTGATTCCTGCTTCGCTCACTCTTGGCCTTCCCTCCATGAGCTTCATGAGGTCGTCTCCTGAAACGGTTTCCAACAGTCTTGAAGGAGTTCAGAGATGCTGAGCATTTGTTGGTCCTTTTGCCTTCACGCTGCGCTCCATCTCATCCCAAACCATCTCCACTGGGTGTAGGTCAGGTGGCTCCATCACTCTCCTTCTTGGTCACAGAGGCCTCACACAGCCTGGAGGTGTGTTTGGGGTCATTGTGCTGTTGGAGAATAAATGATGG